CTGTTAGACAGGACAGATACTGGTCGAACCGAACCAATACGAGGATGGCTGCCAATGCGATGGTATGACATCCTCGCAAAAGCTGTGAATGGAAGCCGTATACTCCAAATGAGGTGTTCTTCGGAGCTGCATTAGCGGGGAGGCTACAGCACGAGTGAAGATGTGAAGGGTGACCGCCCAGTAAATCGAGATTATACAGGTTATACATTTGGTTCACAGAACATCCGAAATACCCTGGCGATCCTTAAATGCACAGTTCACGTTAAAAAGGTTTTTCCGAGATTTTCTCCTAGGATGAACATGTAACTTCCAAGAAACGCTGTTGGGACGAAGGACAGTCAAGATATAGACGTCTTCGGGTGTNTTTTCCGAGATTTTCTCCTAGGATGAACATGTAACTTCCAAGAATAGCCTAAGAAACGCTGTTGGGACGAAGGACAATCAAGATATAGACGTCTTCGGGTGTGTACACCGGCTGAGCCGGCGTACACACCCGAAGACGAGTTGTAAATGCTGTAGAGGTTGCACCATTCGTACTAGGACCCACACCATGCACGTAGGCAGCGTATTGCAGCCAGCTGTATGCAATGGCGCTCGCATTCAAACAGCTCGTCTGAATACCACTGCCACGCAGTTTTTTTTATAACATTCTCGTCCGACCCTTAATTTTACTCCTTTTTCTTCCTACTTTTTCTTATATTTCTCCAAATACGTCGATTTTCGCGTTCACCATGCACGTAGGCAGCGTATTGCAGCCAGCTGTATGCAATGGCGCTCGCATTCAAACAGCTCGTCTGAATACCACTGCCACGCAGTTTTTTTTATAACATTCTCGTCCGACCCTTAATTTTACTCCTTTTTCTTCTTACTTTTTCTTATATTCCTCCAAATACGTCGATTTTCGCGTTCTCTTCGCTAATTTTGCATTAATCTGCACTATCATCTTCATTACTCGTCTAAAACTGGATAGTCCAGAAATATCATGAACTGTGTCTTTAAAGGCACAATTCATGTTGATTTTGGGTAATCCACATTATGGCGAAAAATGGAAGATAAGATGGAATACAGTGCGGTGAAGGCGAAGGAACTGCGTAAATTGGTGTTCCCAAAGTGAAAAAAGGTTCCAAAAATCGTTAAAAAGAGGGCTGGACGAGAATGAGACCAGAAAAATGAAGAAAGTGGGGCGTTTGGACGAGCTATAAAATGTGGGTCATTGCGTACGTGTGGATCCTGGTGTGGATAGCTGACTACTGTGAGCAGAAATTATTCACTCATAAGCATAATTTAACAAAAAACCCTATTAGTAGCAGAAATAGCCCATCTTTCCCAACCTCTCAGGGTAGAAATTAGAATAAGGATCGCAGCAGCAAAAATAATAAAGAGAATAAAAGAATGGGGGAAAAACATCGACTCATCACTCGGCGATCAGCTGATTGCGTGTGAGTCTTAGAACGAATAATTGCAACCTGTATCGCCTCTACACTCGTCTAGCGTGACATCAATCGAGGGGCGGGAAGGCCGCGCTAGCCGGGATCAGGACTTCCACTATGCCCTAATCGTCGAGTTTTTGGGCGCGAGAGGGTCCTTTCTATTACCTTTGGTGGACACTGAATATTCCTAGTGGAAAAACTCAGCAACCATTTTTATCGTGAACCGCGCTCGAAAGTGCGTGGCACGAAGGCATTGAGAGATCACTGCAGAGTGATATTTTTTGAAAACAACGTTGAAGAACTCTCGAAATACCTCGGTAATCCTTATGTTGATCATACTGGTCCCGATCAGAAGATCAATATGCTAAAGTTCACCTATACATCACTCGCTCAATATGCATAGCCCTAGAACGCCTTTTTTCTGTATAACACCCGGTTCCACAAATGAATAGCGTAGGAGAATATGGAAGTAACACCATTCATTCGCAAACTGCTAAAAGCTTGGTGCTGAAAGCATTACTGAGTTCTATTGAACCGCACTCAAACGCAAACCGCATCTACGGGAACCACCTGAAATATTGCCCGATGATTACGTCGAGTAATACTAGAAAAAAGATGATCGACGAGAATGGGAAATGAATCGCCCAAGTATCAATTCATCACAACATCGAAGAAACTGAAAACGAATTTAGCGGGTGCACTTCAGTTGAAATCCGTATCATCATTAAGACTTAGAAATATGGCCATGCACAGCACTCTGCAGTGTGATATTAAGCCACAATCCGATGAAGAACGCTTGTCTTACATTAGTATGTCCATGACAGGTTTCCTCAACTGACACCGTATTTTTTCCATTCGCAGAAAACCTATATCTTGATTTACATATTTTCATCTGAAAGACGGTAGAAATAGCCATATACAGTAGTGCTCAAAAGTATTCGGCCAAATGCTTCTTCGGTCGTACATTTCACTCGTAACTCCTTTCCTACTGGATTTAATCATGCGAAATTTCACTATGTGTAGCATGGGTGTATTGTGAATATTTGCCACATTTAACCTGCAATCTGATCATGTTCCAGATATCCCAAAGGGCTTGAACAAAAAATAAAGTGGAAATACGAATGATAGTCCTTCTGGAAGCTCTTCCCTTTTGGCCATATCTAAAGTGTACGAGCGCTAATGCCGAACCCAGAAGAAAAGAAAAATGTACATAAGGTCCGAACAACTGCAGACGTCACAAACTTGCTTTCAGCAGAGTCTACAAACGCCTCCCCATTAGTATGTGGATATGGTTGCTTTGCAATTAAGTGGTGTAGGACAGTGTAAAACATGCTTCACCAAACATATCAAAACTTCATGCGATTTGCTCGACTGAAAAAAAAAGTTACGGCCGAAAAGGAGTGGCCGAGTACTTTTGAGCGCTACTGTATTGAAAAATATAAAGCGGTGCGAACAAGTGTTTAAGCCGCGAAAACAGGTACATAATTTACAGTGAAGCATGACTCACATGGTTGTGTGAATACAACGACTCTCCCCGAACACATCAATATTGACAATATTTCCGGTCTTCGTCGATGGGTAATATCGCAGACTATTACTATATGCTACCAGAATGAGCAATCGTAAAAGGCGTATCATACCGCGATCACCTGAAACCGTGAACGATAATTTGCACGAAAGGTAAGACATGGTGCACACGATAAATGCTTTTCACGTTGAGTCCAGGAGAAGAGAACCGTGGAATGTAGAACAATCACCTAAGACCTGTTCCAGGTCTGAGGCTAAGATTTTTATTCAGAAACAAAAAAAGAAGTGAGAGGGGATAGTGACGGTGAATGCTTGACGCTTACTCGTGTGACAAGGAAAATCTATTGAGGTCAATGTGAGTCCCCCACTATCTCAGATTTATTTCAGCAGCCAAAAAAAGAGTGAAAAGGAATAGTGACGGTGAGTGCTTACTAGTGTGGCAAGGGAAACCTACCCTTTTCCTCCCCCATCATCTCCGATTCCAACAAAGAGACATCACATTCACAACATATGTACCATTCTAGTGGAGATAGAAAACAATGCAAAAGAGAGATAAAGGGAAAAAGCATGGTGATTATAAACCATGAAATTGGTGCTGTAACGAAGGCTGCCCTAATGCCTATTGTTACATACGGCATTACTTCTGGCGTGTCTAATACTCGCTGAGATGTGTGTTTAACACTCGCTCACACGTTCCAGCCACTTCAGTCAGCAGGGAACAACAAAAGTGCGGTTCGAATTTGGAGTCAATAGAAGTTCATTTGCCGACCAGTAGCCCATCTTCAACTGTCTACAGATTGAATCTCGTCGAATGAAAAAAAATTATTCAAGTCGCTCAATTTAAAGAAACGCAACTCTAATCTTTGTTCTTGAAAAAAAAAACATGAAAAATATATAACTTTCACTTATTGAAAAAGGGTATTGAAAAGTTGATGTGTCTCGAGTATATGGCCTTCGATCGACAACCGTCAGCGACCCACAAGGAAAAAAAAACCATGAGAGATGAATCAGTCTTTGCGAAAGGTCAGTCGTTGCGTTTATTTTCCGCCCATTAGGCAATGCTATGGCCTTAAACAGCATGGAACGTAAATAAAGAATGTATTGAAGGTAAAGCAACCCGGATTCCCCTAGAGAAGAACCGAAGAAAACGACTGCTACCTCACACTGTACCGTTGACATATAATGAATAAACCGTCTTGGTTGAGAACCTGTTTCAGAGCGGCTTTTCGAGTTCAGTGAAACTCTTCGACCAAATCCACCATTACTTCCCAGACATTTGTTGTGCACAATGAACAAATTATTCTATGGATGCACACAACAGACGATGACATGAGAAATTCCAAGGTGGGCCGGTTTCTTCGAATGTTCGTTGGACAGGCCCCTTTCCTGAATACCTCCTTTTTCGGAAGAGCAGGTAGAACAGTTCCCTCCGCACAATAGACCTCCTCTGCGCGGCTGGGGCCAACAGAGTCTCTTGCATTCAATTCATGTGTAACCATTTGTATTTTGCATATTTTTCGGTGAAAACAAATTAAATTCCAAATCAGGTATAGGCAATAGAACTGATGCTCGTGAATTCCGCCGGATTAAGAAAGCTAGTTATGGCAAGAAGCTGTCATACTTTGCATTTTCAAACTACACCAGCTCATACGTGAAGATTAAGATCATGGAAATAAAACCCGTACGAGACGGAAGACGCTCGTTCCCCATTCTGAATGAGGCAGTCCGATGGAGCTTAACCACTCCAGACATCGTACAATTACCCTCTCTGCTAGCTATACGGACCACACAGTTTGGGGTTGTACATAGGTGATCGTATAGTCTGTCCCACACAGCCTGTCCCATACGCATCTGGTACGTTTGAACTAGCAACTGAATTTCCCGAACCCGATCTCTTAAGGCACTTCCTCATGGTGGCAATTACCTCATCAGAAATAAATGGTAGTACGAAAGGAGTCCTCCATCAATCGAGGTGCTACCTTGTTTGCGGGTCACGCCGTCAGAAGCTCTACGTCTAGTCGAAAATTTGCAGTAGGCAATCAACTGAGCTACTTATGTCCCGGGCCATTTCAACAACTCTTTTCGCTCATCCTCTCCCATGAAAATAAACCACTCACACAGAAGAAATTCTTAACGACCGCTCGTTTTATATAAAAAGGGTGTGCTGAGTGGTAATGGGTATACATCTATGCATGTACGGTTGTACAGTTTGAGGCTGTCCACAGACTAAACGATCGCTTACGTGAAACCTTGACTGTCTAGCTTGTCCAGATTTCAGGAAGGAGGATTGTACTGGATCGGCCTGAAAGATTACTTGCCGTGATTGTGGAGATGAGTATATTGGCGAAATGGCAATACCGCTCTACGTGAGGGTTACGCGAATGAAGGTGCCCAGACATAGACAACATGAATCGACTGAAAGAATTTACCGCGTTTGGAAATCGCAGAATTAAAACCACAACGGAGGGCTCTTGGGTCTGATATGTACAGGGTGGGCCAGAATTATGATTACACAGACATCACATCCCCGAAAACGAATAGAAAGCTAAAAGAGCAGACCAATTCCATAAAAGTGTCTATCACTAATCTCTTATCAAAATAGTACATTGAGACTGGGATCTGTTGCTTTCTGCTTTCACCCAACCCCAGAGACGATGATGGACAACATTAGCGGTGGCACGCAGCTGAGGTCATCGAGTTGATCCCAGCTTTTTGCGAGGCATTTTCGAAATTATTCCACTTCTTGTTTGGGCTAATAGATGCTCTCATCTCAAAGGCTGACCACACTGAGACATCCATGGGATTCTCCACAATGGTCATTGATCGAAGGTTATGAAGTCAGGGAACCCCTTTTCCGGTTTCCAGACAATTTCTGATCTGCATTTAGG